GTCCATCTCCCGATACACCATTCAGACATTTCAACATCTTTTTCTGAATCCCACATTGTAGCATGGCATAGACAATTCACGTTTGCAGTTTGAAGAACACCTGCTTGCTTCTGATGATTTCCTTTAGCTAACCAATGAGTGTTTGCGTTATACGACTCATCCAATCACACTAGTTTTCACTAGATGTGGATGGCACCAATGATCTGCATTGGATGGAGCACATCACATGAAATAAATATTTATAAACATTAAACCAGGGGTAACCAATTAAAAATCAGAGGGGCCTGAATAAAGAAAATAATCAACCATTAAAGGTCCAGATACATTTTTTATGATCTGTTACATTAAACAGAATTTATCACTGAGATAAAAGTAGGCATTTATACGTTCATGTTATACATTGAATTTTAACAACTAGAAATTGCCAAAAATTGCATGCCATTCTATCTCAGAGGAGTTGACACTTGTATGACTGTATTCCTGTATATCCATCAGTAGTTAAAGGACAAGGGTCAGCAAATGCCATTTGCTGTTGTAATATTATAGATTTTTTAGAATAAAAAGCTAGCAGATGTGCATAATCATAAAAATAACAGAAATACAATTATAGAGCATTCAGTATTGAAAGAAAACCCACACTGTTTTCTGAATAAATACATTATTGTATGAATTAAGTTCCATTCTGTTTATGTCTCTTTCCTTGTAAGTTAGAAATGTCCCATGCTCCTGAATGCACCATAGCTATCTGTCGCTCATAAATGCATCACACTGGTCTGTGAACGCTGTGCTGTGTAGCTGTGCGTGTTTGATTTTCCACTTAAGACAAAGCTTTGCAGTTTCCAAACTCCGGTCAGCATCACTGTGAATAACAAGAGACTACAACAAATAAATCAGCCGAACCTCGGACAAAATCGACTTTTCGGGATAACACCGGACCGCGGTCCGCTAATCCGTGACCTCTGCATTAAACCGAAGCCAAGAGTAATGAGTAACGTTTGTTTTAAAAATGTAAGGAATAGAAAGTACAGATACTGGTGTGAAAAAGTAATGAGTAGAAGTCAGAAGTAGGAAGAAAAATAAGTAATGGAGTAAAGTATAGATACCTAAAAAGTGTCCTTAAGTACAGAAGTACAGAAGTATTTGTACTTCGTTACTTGACACTACTGCTTACAAGCTGCGTGTAGGCTACATGGCTACACTAATACATTAGTTGTAGTCCACGATGGTAAATATTTGCTTGAATACGAGATAAAATTGTGTTAGAAAGGATAGAAATGATAGAATAGATTTAGCACTATAGATACTTTTCAATCGTCCGTACGATATATATCGTCTTATCGCCCAGCCCTAATACAGCTGTGCAAATTTGTACAGTATTTTACAATATTTTTACAGTATAGATATATAGAGATGCATATATTTATTTATGTATATTTATATATAAGTAGAGAGAGAGATGTATACATAGATATGTCTATATGTATGTTTGTATAAAAAAAACTCTTCCTCACCCATTGCGGGTGGTCTTCCCTCCTTTTTCTTTCAAGCTCGGGTCCCCTACTAGAGGCCTGGGAGCTTGATGGTTCTGCCAGTATCTCTGCTTTTCTAGAACTGCACTCATCTGGACTGAGATGTCTGATATATTCCCAGGGATCTGCTGTAACTCCTCCAGTTTGGGGGTCACTGCCCCGAGGGCCCCAATGACCACGGGTACCATTGATGCCTTGAGCTTCCAGGTTTTCTCCAGCTCTTCTCTGAGGCCCGGGTATTTTTCTAGTTTTTCATGTTCTTTTTTCCTGATATTGCAGTCACTTGGTATTGCTATGACAACCACAACGGCTTTCCTCTGCTTTTTGTCCACCAACACAATGGTTGGTTTGCCATTACCATTCAGTCCGTCTGTATCTGGAAGTCCCACAGGATCTTGACTTGATCATTCTCTACCATCTTTGGAGATGTTTTCCACTGTGACCTTGGGGTTTACAGCCCATACTCTGCACAGATGTTCCTGTATACTGTTCCAGGCACTTTGTTATGGCGCTCCATGTAAGCTTTCCCTGCTAGCATCTTACACCCTGCAGTTATTTGCATGATTCTCTCAGGGGCCTCTTTGCACAGTCTGCTCCTGGGCTCTTGTCTTGTGTGGTAGATATGGGCCTCTATTCGGGGTGTAAATAATAATCGTTTTGTATCGATGCATCAATCCAACAGCCGACGATCCGATGCATCGATACGTCCGCNCACTTGGTATTGCTATGACAACCACAACGGCTTTCCTCTGCTTTTTGTCCACCACCACAATGTCAGGTTGGTTTGCCATTGCCATTTGGTCCGTCTGTATCTGGAAGTCCCACAGGATCTTGACTTGATCATTCTCTACCATCTTTGGAGATGTTTTCCACTGTGACCTTGGGGTTTGCAGCCCATACTCTGCACAGATGTTCCTGTATACTGTTCCAGGCACTTCGTTATGGCACTCCATGTAAGCTTTCCCTGCTAGCATCTTACACCCTGCAGTTATTTGCATGATTCTCTCAGGGGCCTCTTTGCACAGTCTGTTCCTTGGGTCTTGTCTTGTGTGGTAGATCTGGGCCTCTATTGCTTTGGTGCTTAGGGCTTGCTCCTGTGCAGCCATGATGAGTGCCTCTGTGCTGTCCTTCAGTCTGACTTTGTCTAACCATTGGTAGGATTTCCTGATATTTGCCACTGCGGTTATGTTTCGAAATGTACATCCTGTGTACGAGCTTCTCCTCCCATGACGGAGTCTCTAGCACCTCATCTTGTGTTCCGCATTGTCTGAGACATTCACTGAGGATTTCGTCTGTTGGAGCCTTGTCCTTGATGTACTTATGGATCTTGGATGTTTCATCCTGGATAGTGGCTCTTACACTCATTAGTCCCTGGCCTCCTTCCTTGCGGTTGGCGTACAGTCTCAGGGTACTGGATTTGGGATGGTACCCTCCATGCGTGGTTAGCAGCTTTCCTGTCTTAACATCTGTGGCCTGTATCTCATCTTTTGGCCAGCTTATTATTCCTGCAGGGTATCTGATCACTGGTAGAGCGTAGCTATTTATTTCCCAAAACTTATTCTTGCCATTGAGCTGGTTCCTTAGGAACTGCCTTACTCGTTAGAGGTATTGGCTATAGCCGCTTTCCTTATTACCTTTTTGAGGTTGCCATGTCAGAGCAGCGCATCTGAGCATCTGTGGAACACGCTGTCTTACTAGCAGGACCAAAGAGTGGCTCCTTCATTACCTGACTGTTAATTAACAAACAGGTCTTCAGTAGTGTGATTTTTTTTTTCTCGGTTTGCAAAACCTGTTGAGCAAGTAATCCATGAGGAGGGAAAAAGGTTTTAACATAACAAAACTAATAGCTTACCTGAATAATTGTCACTGTGGCAAAGCAATATGGAAATAATGCCAAGCCGCTGCGGTGGCAGGTAGCGGTGCTAAGGCTAAGACAGCAACAACACGGAGGACAGATGTCTCCACTCAGAGGCTTTAAAGCTGTAAAAAGTTTCCCAGAGAATAAAATGCTAAAGCTATTAATGACAAAGTGATGGGATTTATAGCGCCTGATAACCAGCCTTTATCTGTCATCGAAAGCCCAGGTTTAGGTAACTTGATCGCACTTTGAGCCACGTTTATTTTAAATATTTGACTTGTTTGATTTTGCTGATTTGAGCAAGATAATGGCCAGATATATATATATCATACATATATATGATATATATGTCGTATTATTTTTAATACGATAGATCAGAGAAATTTCAATAGAAAATAATCTAAAATCTACTGAGCCTCTGTGACACATATAGCTGTCTCTTCCAGGCAGAGGTTTACAGGAAGCTCTGCTGAGGGTAGGGTGTCTCATTACTTCCTCATTTGCCAGACAGTCACTGTGGTGTTGGATGTAAATGCTTTTAGTACTATAATAATTATTAGGCGTTATTAAACAGTTTCAGTGATGTGATCATAGCTCTCTGCTTCAGCACCACTGTCCAAATGTAGGTCGAGTGAACTGCTAATCAACTCAGGTTGATTAGCAGGATCCATTCACTCCTCAAACTCAAGGACAGAGTTTGTTGCTCTAATGTGTGTCCCTTATTACCACAGTAGAAAGTCTTTCTGTTGTGTTTGTCTTTCAGACCACCTTCACGATTATGTTGGAAAAGAGGAGGATTTCTCTGACCAGCAGCTCTATGAACAGGAGAGGAATTTCAGTTTGGACCAAGAGGAACCAGAACCTCTGCAGATAAAAGAAGAGCAGAAAGAACTAGAACATCCCTGGACAAAAGAGGAAACCATGGAGCTCCCCATTAGTGAGCAGGAAGAGCAGCTTATTCTGAAGCACGAGACTGAGGATACAGGAGAGAAATCTTTCCCATGTTTGACATGTGGAGAAAACTTTCTAAGAAAAGAACATTTAATGGATCATAGTAGAACTCACACAGGTAAGAAGGTTTCTGAATGTCTGTCCTGTGGAAAAATGTTTTCCAAAGTTCACAAACAAATCTAAACCTGAAAGGCAGATCAGAATTCAAAGCCACCTACAAGTGCAGAAATGACTGACTGAGTGTATAACTGTACGTAATTATTTGAAGGTTGACTTTTTTGTATTAGGAACCCCTTTTCTTTTACTGGTCGGATGAAATATGCTAATTTTGCGAGATATGACATTGGGGTTTTCAAAAGCTGTATGCCAAAATCATCCATATTAAGACAATGAAATGCCTGAAATATTTCAG